GCCGGTTCCCAGCCGCTTGAATTCTCTTTATTTTTTCCCATCTCTCTCTCTCCCCGAAGAGATTTTTTTTCCTCCCGTAATGTCCCGGTTCCCTGCTCCTGCTTTAAGACACGCTCAGGCCGTACCTTTCCCCGCTGCAGTCCCTTTTCCCTGCTCTGTGTGTTAAGGCTGTAAAATCGATCATGAGAACGGCTTGATTTTCAGATCCTCGCAGCAGGGAGCAGGCAGCGGGGATGGCAGTCCCAGCAGCGCGGCGGCAGAGACACCATCCAGTGAAGACTTCAGGTAAAGCCAATCTACAGAACAGCAGCATCGCCTGCGACACCCCATTTTGAAGTCTCTGCCGTGTTGCTGTTAGGTGAATAGTAAGCAAGTACACTGAAGTCCCTTCAAAGCAGAAACTTCTGTGAAAGCATACTGAAGTCCCCTGAGTCTTTTTCTGGAATGCCTAGGGAATGGACACAACTACAGAGCTCAAATAATGTATTAAACATAAACTATCCTCTTTGAGTTTGAACTCTGTTTTCTTTACTACTAATACTTGACATTTCTATATTGACTTAGGTCTTTATGTAGATAATAGATAATTAAAATTTATTAAACAATTTTAAATGGACATCTTATCTTTCTACACGCTCTGTAATGCAGTTGTTGCTCTGTATTACAACTAGGGAAACATGGGAACGAAGAGGGGCAGGGACTTGCTTGTAGCTGCTGAGGAGTTCGGCATCAGCTGGCACCACAGCTCCAGACTTCTGGTCTAGTGTGCAAACCACTGAATGCATTTCCGATGGGCCAGAAGTCACGGGGCGAGTTAGCTGTAAGCCACAGAGAGGTCACCGTGGTCCCCCTTCTAGACGCAGGTGGTTCTGCACTTGCTCAGAGAAACAAGACAACATTTGCTTTTTGCTAACAATTTCTTCTTGTTTTTTAAAGCCTCTCCTTGCTGGACACTAACTTACCAGCTGAAGCGGAGACTGAACTGCGCAGTTTTATTGCTAAGCGTCTTACTAAAGGAGCCCTCTTTGAAGGAATGGGGAATGTAGCATCAGTGGGGCTGAGGTAAAGTTTAAAAATTATTTGTGAATGAGAAACTGTAAGAAATACTGGCAGTATTGCACATCTTGCCATCTGGTGCTGCACTTAAGTTTAATCCTGATTCAATGTTCTCAGTCTTTTGCTGCTGTTAGTAACAGCTTTGTGCAATGGCACTTTCCTCTTTTTCTAGGTAGCTTTGAGAAAAATATTGTAGTAAATAATTTAAGTTTGAATACTTAAAAAATACATTTGTTTATGACTATTTCATTTTAAACTACTCTGATTGCACCACAGAGGGAAAAAAGAGAAGGTCTAAGAGCTCTATATATGACCATAGGAGCCACCAGTGCTAGCGGGTGAAAATTCTTTACAGAAATCATGTGTGTCTGATTTTTGCACTTATTTATTGTGATGTATCTGTAACAAAATAATTCTTTTTTTTCTGCATAGCATACCAGAATATAAAGTTGGTTGTTATTACTGTTGTTTCCAACACGAAAATCTTTTAGAAACGGCAACACTGGAATCGGACATCAATGCTCCAGAATATGTGGTTTGTTTCTTAGGTGGCTCAGAGAAAGGTCTGGAACTATATCCTTACCTTTAATTTTCTTTATCTGTGTGGAGAGGGAAATGATGTAAAAATTATGTTCTCGTTTTGTCCATTTCCTATTTGAAATTGGCTCATTTGTGCACACCTTCCAGTAGCTGAAAATGTCAAGAACAGCCATGTACTGAAAGGGAAAAATGCAGGTCTTAACCAATGCAGCTTATTTTCCTTAAAAAGATACTTTCAGACTTGAGCTGGACAAATACATTCAAAGTCTGAAGATAAACCTTGATTTGGAGGTAAGGCCTAATTTTTTTTAAAGTAAGTGGTGAAAATTACTATTTATGCAAATTAATTACTAAGACAATCTGGAAGATTTAGTCTATAGAGAGAAAACAGGTGTTTTAAGTACCAGTATGAAACACTGAGAGAGATACTTGATTCACTGTAGTGACAGTGAATGTCTAAAGTGCTATCCACCAGACAAGTCAAAAGGAAAAAAAAGGGGACACACACACACACAGTTTTTTGTGCCGGTCTTAAATCTCTTAAAGGTTACTTGCAGTTAGATTCTGAGAGAAAAATGACTAATAAAAGGTAACAGTCTACAGGAAAGTTATCAGTGTCCACCTGGATTCTTATCACTTCTGAATGTTAAGGAAGGATTTTTAGTAGATTTCTTGTCACAGTTTTTCTAATGAAACTATGCATTTTAAGTCTCTCCCATCCCGTCTGCTGTTGCATCGTCTTTGCTCAGTAGATACCATAATATTACAGTTTTGTCTATTTCTTAAAATGCAAAGCCCTTCGTTGCTGATAAAGTGTGGCTTTAAATGTCAAACTCATTATTTTAGTTTACTGCGGTTTGAAATTAAGAAGGCTTTGACATCCGAATATCTTAGGCTGAATAGATTATTAATAGGCTTCTATTTGTGTAGAAATCTAATTTGTAGTTAAAGTTTTAATGTTTCAACTTGTTACAGCAAAAAACCTTGGAGACCTGTGTTAACCCCTACTTGAGAAGCTGGTTTGAGAATGCCATATGCCCTATTCAGAGAGTAGTACAGCTCTTCCAGGAGAAGCTCGCCTTTTTGTTACATGCTGTAAGTGTATTTTAAACTGGATAACTGAAAAAGGTTCAGAAGGAATCTCAGTGACCAACACGTTTAAAATGTTTCTTGCATTTGCTTTCCCAGCCAGGAGTAAATGAGGAAAAACTTTTTTTTTTTTTTTTTTTTTAAATTCAGGGCAAGTACTTCTCTGCTTTATTGCTAAGGAAGGACAAAGCAATTTCTTCTATCAATTTTTATAGTTAACTCATTTTAAATTACATAGTAGCGTCCAAGTTGAAATTACAATGAGAAAATTGCAAACAGCATGAGAAAGCTGTCCCTGCTCTAATTCCTCTGAACCAAAAGGGATGTTATATTGCGTACGTGCCTCATGTAATTCGCTGCAAACAGAAAAGAAATGAATCCTAGCTCTAGTCGCTGAGTTTGAGGCGGCTTTGGATGGAATAGCTAATAGAGCATACTTGCTGTATTTCTTCTGAATGCAAAACCAGCTGCAATGACTGTAGTATGGAGTATTCCCTTAGCTTCCACTCTTTCTCTGAAAAGAACAATTTTTAAAGTACCACATTATGTATTTATTGCCAGTAACTGCAACATAGCAACAGAAGTAGTATCAAAGTCACATCTAGGTTTTTTCTTTTTTTTTTTTTTGTTTTGTTTTAAGGCTTTGAGTTATACTCCTGTGGAAGTAAAAAACGCAGATGAAAGAACAGAAAAAGACATTAGCAGGTAAAGATACTTTGAGATTAAGGAACCTGTGAGTAACTTGGCTTTTGCATATGACAGCCTCCTGTTCTTGCAGTTCAGGAGTTGTAAAGAAGCAAGCAGTTCACAAGAGCTTTTTGTGTCAGGTTTCTGGCAGCTGCCAGCCTCCAAGGACTTGTTCAGGAAGGCACGATGACCTCCCTGTGTATTGCCATGACTGAGGAACAGCACAAGTCGATGATTATAGACTGTAGTGGACCTCAGCCTCAGTTGCATAACGCAGGTGAGATTACAGCTGTGAATACTTCTTCATGTTACTCACTTGTATCCATCAGCTGCTGAGAGTTGTGGATGTTAGAGGTAGTTGAGGATATTCAGAAGCTCATAGGTTCATGCGCAGAAACTCTGGATTCTGGCTGGAAACTACCTGTTTTCCTACGAGGTAGCAAGGTAGTTTGTTTTACCAGATACACTGGAACTCTGGTTTGAAAATGGTTGATAATAAAATCCACAATGCATTTAGTTTGCGGGCCATGAAACTATGACTTGTACACTTCAGGGAAGCTGCAAAACTTTTTTTCTTTTACTGTTGCATTTTTGACAAATGTTGTGAAAAGGGATTCAACAATCAGAACAGAATTTCATGTAATCACTGTAGCTATCTTTGCTTTTCTTTTCCACATGTATTGTTTTTCTTAAGACTTATTTCCTGGCCCAGGCACACTGTTACCAGTTGCTATGTGAGAGTGATTAAACCAGGTGAATGCAGCTATATATTTACGTTGAGCTCATTTACTTTTTCTCACCCCTTCTCTGTGTTCCTGAAAACATAACAGGAAGCAACAGATTCTGTGAGGACTGGATGCATGCTTTTGTGAATGGCACTGAAGGTGGAAATCCATTTCTCTTCCGGCAGATTTTGGAAAACTTTAAATTGAAGGTACCTGTTCATACATGTTAAAGACTTGGAGAAGACATCAGGGTTACTGAGGGAGCAAATACTCTTTTTGCAGCAAAGAAAAGTTTTAGGTTACTTACGATGTCTATACATCATTCACTGATTTACTCTGAAGTTTAAGTTGGGGACTGGCTTACTGTAGTTGACAAGACCAGAATGTAAAGTAGCATGAAAGTTTCTTCAGCGAATACTCCAAAGGCATTTTCTCATATTTAAAATAAAACCCACCTTTTTTTTTTTTTTTCTTAAAATACCATTAATTTGAGCTTTGCACACACAATATCGTGTAATTGGGTAACATAGATTCAGGAGCTAGTGGTTCTCAGGTGATCTGTCAGAAGAGGAGAACTCTTGATACAAGTTTGGGCATGACCAAGTTGGGGTCTCCACACGTTTTGCGTCGTTACAATAACAGTGGTAACACGCATCAAAGATAGTACTCAATTCTTACGTTACTCTTGAGTGGTAATATAAAAGTTCCTATTAGAAATGGTTTTGCTTCTCCTGCTATTCTTCCTTCACTTTTCCACGTGGTAGTATGTTTTCTTTCCATGTAGAAGGATAAGACAATGCTCTGTTACTCTTTTCCCAGGCTATACAAGACATTAACAACCTGAAGAGGTTTATCCGCCAGGCTGAAATGAACCACTATGCCTTGTTCAAGTGTTACATGTTTCTAAAGAACTGTGGCAGCGGAGACATCCTTTTGAAGATTGTTAAAGTAGAACATGCAGAAATGCCAGAAGCCAGAAGTGTAGTGACCGTCCTTGAGGAATTCATGAGAGAAACATCAGTGGCTTAAAATTATCTTAATTATTCTGTACTCGTTTGATGGTATTGTATAAATCATTAATTTCTTCTGTGCAGCTCAGTTTCACTGTTGCAGGATTTTTAATTTATATTTAAAAGTATTACCTAAGTCAAACCTAAGTAGCAGTTTCATCTGCCTTTTCTTTTTTAGATAAAGCAGTATGAGCTTTTTTTAATGTGTAAATATCAAATCATACAAGCTCCTGCATAGTTTTCATTGCTTACCAGATTCTCCAAATGACTTGTTCCTTTTCTGAGGAAATCATGATGTCTGGTTTTTACAGTCATTGCACACACACACCCCAAAAAAAAACCAAACAACCCACAAACCCAAAACGCAAATGGCAAGCATTTCAGTGTTTTAAATATTTTAAATATCTTTAAAATGATCGTGTCTAATCATTAAGATCTGGTTACTTTTGTTTTAATATATAAAGAAGCACAAACATCTGGATAAATCATAGTAAATTAATTAATCGTATTTGTTTATATAAGAGAACATAGGTAACAAGTCTGTATGTAGCTAGTTTCCACATTCTACTTTCAAATTGGCAGTTTGTTCTTCTGTTACTAGATAAACAACTTGTTAATTGGCATGAAACAGAACTGCCTTAAGACTGAGCAGAGTTTTAGGGATCAGTTTGTATGTGCTTGTATGTATGCATACATACACTGGATGGACATGTTAAATTCCCAGGCTCTTTGATGAATCCCATTCCTCATTAGTTTGCGTTACGATCAAGACCTTCTTTGTATGTTCTTAGTACCCATTTTGCATGACTGTAAATAATCATATGTTTTTCAATCGTGGAGAATTAAACCTGAAAATTTTACAGATTAAATATGAACTTGAATAGAAACTTCTTCAGAAGTTGAAGTAAACTAAGTTCCCAAGTTAATTATTCAGACTTCAAAACATTTCATTGTATTTCAGCAGTCAATTCTTACCCACATCATAGGACATTTAGACAGCAGAGTACTTAAAGAAAATCTTTGGCTCCAGCTGGAATCAAAACTCAGGAGGCCTCTGAGTGACCACATAAATGAGGACCCTTTCTGCAAACCTGATAGAAGCAAAACTCCCCATTGCTCTCCTTCGCAGCAGAGGGTGCTTGAACGCCTAGATTGGGGCACTTGAACAACAGGGACAGTCTTACTAATGCAATTAGTTTGGTTGTTCCGCCAGTGCTGTATGCTGTGACGATAAAAGTTGACTGCTTTCCTGTGACACCACTGTGTTCAGCCTAGAATAAGGTTTACAATAAAACACATTCAAGTCCTTATTAGTGTGCCTGTGTTAAATTACAAGTGAGTGTTGTCCTTGATGTCTCCTGTTTAAACCCCTTTATTCACACAATGCAGAGGAGGTGCGGGTGTATTGGGCAGGAGTCTGCAAGCATCACAGTGACAGCGAGGTGAGACGTAACATATGTGGGCTTATAACCTGAATTATCCTATTATCCTGTGACCCATACTACACTCATTTAAATAAGATTTCTGTTTTGTTTGCTAGATAAGTTATCATAAATCACGCTTCAAAATCCAGATACTTTTCACCTTAACTGTAAAGCTTTGCTTAGTCTTGTTGGGGCTTCTCCTCTCCAAGGTAACATGTTCAGTACCAGTCCCACTGAATTTGTACTCTGTAACACATGGACAGCTTCCGTCACAGCTTTTTCTGTTGCAAGTTCCTTTTCCTGAATTTTCCCAGCACTGAAGGTGACTGGCGTTATGAAAAACATAACATCTTGCTTTCTGCAGCCTTTTTTTTTGACATCATCTCACTTCTGCCAGCTTTGCAGTGACTTTGCCACTCAGTCACCTCACTACTAAACTCGAGGTGCTCACAAGCACACGCACACACATTGAAATACACCCTGGTAGTTCATGAATTCACAGGCTTTACTGGCATCTTGCCATTATAAATTCTCTTTTAAAAACAAAACTGAAGGAAATTAAACAAAAGCATAATAAATAATGCAGAAGCAGCTGGTTTAGCTGCCTGAATGCCTGGAGAGTATTACACAATTAACTTCCTCCAGCAATCAGCTATTCGAACCTCAGGATGAAGCACACAAAAGGTCAGAAGATGCTGAGATGTGCACTTAATTTGCAAACCTGAAAGATTTTTACTGTTTTAAGGGTCTGATTTAAAACTCTTTTCAGGAGAGAAATAAAAAAAAACAAAACCAAAAAACCCCACAACCCAAACCCAAACCCAAACAAACCAACCAAAACATCGAACAAATGAACAAACAAACAAAACGTCCCAAAACACCCAAACCCCAAATCCCCCAGGCCTGTGTTAAGAATGCAAGTTTAGATTTAACTGCTACAGGCCTCTTGCAGCTTGAAAAACCAGGGTCTGGTTTGGTTTTTTGGGTTTCCCCCCCTCTTTACCCCCCCAAGAGAAGCAGCATATAAACCAATTAGTATTTCTCTTTCCCACACTTATGAGCAACGCTTACTATACAGAATATGATTGGAGCTATGGGAATAAAATGATAACGAGTTTTATGAGTTTGTGTGATCAAGGCTGAGTATCAAGGCTGCCAGCTTTTGGCTCCTTCTCTGCGACAGATATGCTGGAATTGGCAATGTTTCTGTCCTTCAGTTTGCCTTTCTAAAATTATTTTAGCCAGAAAAAAAAAAAAAAAAAAGAGGATGGTGCTAGCAGACAGTAACACTTCCCTGTACTAACTGACAAAACCCACCTTACCTTCTTGCTGAAAGTCCTCAACTAATGAATAGAGAGATTTGTGTCTCGGAAAGCTCAGTTAAGTGCAGAAAACTAACAGCAAGAGCTGAGTCCCAAATAGAGTAGCAGTGATCTGCCTCCCCTTAGGAATAACAAATCTGACAAGAACTGCTGCTAGGTACATCTTCATTTCTTTAAGTTGCACTTTAATCACAGAATGGTTTGGGTTGGAAGGGACCTTAAAGATCATCTGCTTCCAGCCCCCCTGCCATGGGCAGGGACACCTTCCACTGGAGCAGGTTCCTCAAATGAACCCAATATTTCCCAACAAAAGCACAAAGTATTTTTCCAAATAGGCCTCCCCCTTCCACACTGGTGGAAGGTTTTTTATTTTCGTTATCTTAAAATAACTAAATTAGTTGGAGGTTTGCTGCAGAACTTCCTGGATATGTTGTTCCCCCTATTGATTCAAGGGATGAGAATGTGTTGGCTCTGAGATTTTAAGACATTCAGTAGAGACTCATGTTAAAAGAGAACAACCCTCCACCCCAATAAAAAATTTTGAACAGTCTAATCATAGAATCGTCAAGGTTGGAAAAGACCCTTAAGATCATCGAGTCCAACTGTTAACCTATCACTGCCAAGTCCATCTATACCCATGTCCTCGAGCACCACGTCTACCTGTTCTTTAAATACCTCCAGGGATGGAGACTCAACCACTTCCCTGGGCAGCCTGGGCCAGTGCTTGACCACCCTCTCGGTGAAGAAGTTTTTCCTAATGTCTAACCTAAACCTCCCCTAGCACAGCTTGAGGCCGTTTCCTCTCGTCCTGTCACTCGTTACTGGGGAGAAGAGACCGACCCCCACCTCGCTACAGCCTCCTTTCAGGCAGTTGTAGAGAGCAATAAGGTCTCCCCTCAGCCTCCTCTTCTCCAGGCTAAACAACCCCAGCTCCCCCAGCCGCTCCTCACAAGACTTGTGCTTCAGACCCTTCACAACTTCGTTGCCCTTCTTTGGACACGCTCCAGCACCTCGATGTCCTTCTTCTAGTGAGGGGCCCAAAACTGAACACAGTACTCCAGGTGCGGCCTCACCAGTGCCGAGTACAGGGGCACTAATGTACTTGGTCATCAACTTCCCCGCAGTTCTGAGGTCACTACTGCACTAAAGTGTCAGTTGTCAAATGGTGGGACAAGACCTGAATTTCAATACAAGTCTCAAGCCAGTTCTGTATCCTTGTTATATCTCATGGAGAAATAAAGCAGCAGTTCACTCTCCGCTTTATCTTTCAGACAGACACTTTTAAAGAGACATAAAAATGAGTTATCAATGTCATTATTAAAAGATTACATTGCAGAGCCCAAAAGCAATTCCTCTTTTGTTAAATACTGGGTTAACTGTAGACAAACTTACAAAACTGTCTTTGAAAGTTTTTTCTTGGTTGTTTTTTGGCATGTGATGTAGAGCAGCTCAATTTTCTTTCAAAAAAAAAAAAAGAGAAAACAAAAAAAACACCAACAAAAAAAATTTAATGGATTCTGTGCTCAAATAATACTGTTACAACAAAAATATACAGAATGTACACAATACAAAAATATTTGGAAACGTACCATAGCATCTTACCTTGCAAATATAATTTTGTTTTACTAGCCCTTAACGGGAAAGTATCATTTGTTCAGTATTTTAAGGCAGAAAATTACATTGTTTAGTGCTTTGTGTTTAACACTTGGATGTGTTGTTAGCATTAGTAGCGTAAGCAAAAGAGAAGCTAGCTTTATTTGCAAACTAAACAGACACTGTGGGGGAGTCAGGAGACAGTGACTAACGTACCTATTAAGCTCACTGGAAATTAAGGTACTTTTGCTACTTAAATCAGACCCAGGGAATATTTTGTGCTCTGTGTTGTAAAGTATCCTGAAACATAAATTTTCTGTACTACTACTGGCATTTCAGAAATACCTCATTAGAAACCTTTTTCCAATTAAAAGCCAATGATTAACGGTACCATTAAAAATACATTTACCTTTAAACAAGCTTGGTTTCTGTCTTATGTGTGATTCTTTCTTTATAGAGCTGCAAAATGTCTTCCTTTATAACCAGCTCTCAGCATCAGTGATTGCAGAAGGAATTTTTGAGTCGTATCACAGAGCGCTGTAGAGCAGCCACTACTACAAAAGAAACAGAACAGCAGCAAAATTCAAAGAGGCTAAAACCCCATAGGTGTTCTCTAGATCCCAGTTTGCCTCCAGAGGTTGCTGGTGTTGAACTACATCTGTATTCTCCAGTTCCACTTTGGGTAAAGGCAGTGGATGGGGTTTCCAAAGCAATTGAGCTGAGCTTGAATCTATGTAAACAGATAGACTTCGAGCTCTTTACTCACTGAAGTATGTGTGAAAGTCCTACCCACGATCCTGTGAGACTAAATATTGGCACAAAACAGCAGCTGCCTTGTGAGGTCAGCAGATAGCTGTTATTTTAATACCAGCTCTAAATGTGTCAGATTCCATCCTTCATACCCCAGTTCAAATTGATCTAATCTGATTTAAAATGTATGGGCAGTACAATCCATCAGAAGGAGCAAGGTCTTGGGACACAGAATGCCTGAGCTTTATTTCTAGCCCAGCAACCTCAGATAACAGTAATTTCTCTGGCCTTCCCCTTCCCCATTGATAAAATACTTCCTATTGCTAAAGGAGCAAGTAGTGAAGAATCACAATATGCCACGTAAGTGCTAAGATTCCTCATCGACTGATGGCGAAAAAGTGACATAAGATGTCTCAAAAACTCAGCAAAAGTAAATTCAGCAGCTTTTCTACGACTCCTCTACACCTCACTCAGAGATGGCTTCTGGTAGCCTCTTCTCTCATCACTCCATTACAAGCCTCTCGCTGTCCTTCCTATATTATCACCGATGTGTGCAAAATTAATCTCTGTCTCCAAGCATCTAGGAACAAAAGGTGCAGTTTGCAAGCCCCGTGGACTTTGATCTACCTGGTTCTCCTCCTCCTCCTTCCTCCCCACGGGTGTCTGAGCCACTTCTCCTGCCTCTCCTCTGGGATGAGGGATCAGCAGGAGGGTCGGAGCCGGAGCCCATCCGTGCTGTGGCAGTGCTGCCAGCAGGTGTCCCCGAAGGAGCTGCACAGCCAGCACCCCAGGCTCCCCCAGCCTGCATTACTACTCCCTACACCCATCCTCACTGGACCAGTGCTGCAATATACTTACTAAGCAGGAAGGTCCAGCACAAAAATGACTTTTTTTTTTTCTTCCAGGTGTCGTGTCCTCACTCAAGGACACAAGCATAAAATAACTTCCTCTAACGCGCACTGTTCAAATCTGTACATTGGTAACAGTCCTTGCCTTCTGCTCTAGCACTGCACGTCTGTAAGGTTCAGTAGATTCACGTTTTATCCAACTGATGTAAAATCCTGGCAGCAGCTGAAATAAAACCAAAACAATAACCAAAACCAGTCCCTCTGCGGACAGCTCCTTCAGGAACGTGTTGCTGACTGTGACAAGCTGGAACCACAAATGAGCAGGATGGAGAATATTATGTCTCCGACATAAACCAGCAGCTTCAAGGACATCTGGAGGTAAAAGAAAAGCCTGTTTGCTATTAGCTCTCTGTTGCTGCAGCAATGTGGCACTCCTGGGTGCATTAGAAAACAACATAACTGTGTTTCCCAATATGCTGTAAAAAGATAATAAGTTTTCACAGTATAATTTTAGTGATTAAAAAAAAATTATAAAAGCTTAAGTACTTTGCACTGCTCCTGACTCCATGAGCTGATAGATTCTTAGCAAACAGGCTCTGTGTACAACCTGCTCTATGTATGGGGAGAGATTTCAGCTGTGATGAGCACAAATGTGAGAGGGTTTTATTTCTTCACCCACAATAAATCTAGTACCGCTTTAAAGTCTGGCCCTTCTGATCCCCAGGGTTGCTTGTAAACTTGCTCAGACAGGGCATGGGGATACAGAATGGAAGTCAGAAAGATGAATAACAGCTTAAAAGAATGTCATAAGCTCAACCTCAGAGCCATTTTTGACCAGTTCACGTAAACTATGTTCATCTATGGATAAAGGACCAAAGAAGGGGTGCCTGGATTACTCTGTTCAGCTCCCTCCTACTCCTGAGCAGAGGCAAAGATGTTGGCCACGGTCAGGCTGATGAAGAAACAGGTGGCCCTTGAAGCTGTAGCTTGCTGCTTCACACCAGAGCACATCACTGGCAGGCACAGAAACCTGGGGAGAAACTGATGGGCATTAAGTAGCTTTCAGCTGAGAAACCAAAAATAAAAGTCAATCGGTGCATACTGTACTCTGGGAAATTATAGGCAAAATACTCTGGGTTTTGTTGCAACTGAAATTTTCTACCAAAATTTTCAATGTTTTAGGAAAACTTCCAGGGGGACTCCCATTTCTGCTCACCTCTGGTTTAAAGGCATCTATAATCAGAAAGGCTTAGCAATAGGTGAGGAAAGTAATGTCCTCCTTAAGCGTTAACCATGCTTCTGTTAACATTCTCCTAGCTCCCTGCTCTCCTGCTTGCCTGCTGCTCCCCAGGGAGATGATCTTCACCACTACGAAACTCACGGGCCAGCTCCTGACCTGAAACGATGCATGCAAACTCTCATGACTGCTTTGATGTGGACCCACACTACAGCGGTAAAATGGCATGGGGAACCAATCCCCTTCTCCAAAATGAACAGAGCTCTGACTCTTATCCCTTCCTCTTGTTCCTTGATCTAAGGGCCCATGAGGAATGTACTAGCCATGCAGAACAACAAAGGTGCAGTTGCCCTCAGAGATCCCATTCCTATGCACAAAGGTGGCAAGAATTCTTTCTTTTGCAGGCAAGGCTTATTCCCAGCTGTAGAAACACTTATTTTCTCCTCCTCTCCTTTCCCCAAGGCAACAGGAGTTTTACTAGCACATACTGTGGGAGCAGAACTTCACCCTTCCAGAGGGATTTTTCCCATTAAGAGGCAAGGAAGGAGGCAGCTGATAAGCACTTGTGAACGACCCCTCTAGAAAGACAGACTCCTACTAGTTTGCAGTATCTGGCAGCACCGATTCCACAGCTGAGGGAATAAAGCCCACGATATGGAGACATTTTGCTACAGAGCAAACACAACTGCTACAGTGCCTGTGAGATGTGCCGTGGAAGGCTCGGGTGGATGGTGCCTGGGCACCAGTACGCAAATAGAAAAAAGGGAAAAAGGAGCTAGTCTAGAGAGACCCCTATGGCTGTTTTATCCGGGCCATCAAACTAGGTGGGTAAAGAGGAGAGAAAAGGAGGGCATCCACATTCCTGGACTGTAGCTTGGCAGCTCTCTAAAAGTGAGAAGCAAAATAACATAAGCACCTCACAGAGAAGTGCACCTACAAGCACTGCTTGTGCTACAGATGTTCCAGTCTGGTCCCCAGGCCCATGCAGGCAGCTGTATGGACTGTGCTACAGACCAGTTAGAGATTGCCAAAACCTGGGGTTGACCAACGTTAAAGAAAAAGGCATCAATGCAACTAATTGTTGCTTGGAGCCCCTGAACGTCCATTGCCTCAGCAAGAGGCAGCCTCAAAATTTAGCAGTCACTTTAAAACCAGTTTTATCAGTTTCACAATGATCACTGTAACACTGTAACAGCCTTTCCACTTCAGCGGGAAACCAGTGCTACACACAACCTGATTTAACTCCACTGACTTCAGTGGACAGATTTGGCCCCAAATGGACAGTATGGCTGTAAAGACTAGACAGTTCCCACCCTGCGCTGCTATAGGTGATCCTAGTCCCACTTTTCTAGTAAGAACCTGCTGAAGAGTTGAGATCCTTGCTAGGAGCTCACTGCAGGCCAGGTGTTAGATCAACGTGGCCAGAAACAAAGCGAGAAAAAAAACAGCACTTGATTGTCAGCTGATAAAGAGACAATTGAACTTTTGCTGTCCTTTTCTCCATCCCTCAAAAAAGAAACCCCAGTCACACCCTCTAGCCCCAGCAGGCTGGGGAGAAAAAAAAATTAATTAAAATCAAGTGAAACATGCACAGTAAAAGTCACCTCTGGCTGGGTGTCCACAACACTCTAAGAGTTCCCAAGGTTTATAGTGCAATTTCATTTGACCTGTAGTTGAAGACCAGTCTCCATCACTTTGGGTGATCAAGTTCTGCTGATTCCTTTGAAAGGTGCGTAAGACAGGTTTCACTGTAGGCTAAAATATCTTAGGAACCATTCAAGTAATTAGACAGTGGCACTGATATGGCTGAACAGTCAGATGTGTCCGTAGAAACCAAACGCAAGCTGCCTTGTGAGTACCATGCGAGTCTCTAATTAGTAAATGTCTGCTCTTTTTCCCTTTTAGTGTTCAGTAACATTGAGGAGATTAGTTCAACAACTGGCCATAATTCCAGCACTGACCTGGAAAATACAAATATCTCATACAAAATATTGATGTGTGCTAACAAACCAAGTGATAAGTGCCCAGGTACAAGCTGCCCAATGGGAGCCCTGGCGGTGGAGAAACTGCAGGGTTCAGGCCCGCCAGCATTACAGTACCTGCTAGATTTGTGAACAAACTGATCAGCCCATTCTTTCGTGAGATCTGTAAGCATCTCCTCCAGCACGCACTTGTGTTCAAAAGAACTATCCTCCCCTAAGTTAAATATAAAAATAGATCCTCCATCTTCATTCAGTTAACATAGCTGACAGATGACTTCCGCTCTTGAGTTTTCTGTCCCATGTTTTCAAGGAGGGGGAGGTAGCTTTAGATCCAATAGGCTGTAGGCAAAAATGTTCCAGAAGATGGCAAACAAGACAAAAATGACATAAATAGAAAGGAAGATCCACCATAAAGTCTGATCTTGGAGTCTCTGCTCATAGTTCCTCAGGATGATGACACCAAGGGTGATTCCAACCATCACCCCTCCCAGGTGAGCCATGAAGCTAGGGTGTGGACACGGCGGGTAAGCGGAGGGGTGGAATCGCAGCCACACGGCTCTTCCAAATTCAAAGCTCACTAGAACAAAGAAGGAAAAAGAAACTGATTGTCTAGGTCTATCCCTTCTTAAGTTCATCTTGCAGGCAGCGCTGCATTCCTGAATAGATGGAGAGGGAGAAACTGCCTTGTATGGTGAGCATAAGGAAGCTGGGAAGCCATGGCTGTGTAAGGGTTGTGGCACATAGACATGAGGTCTCCCCAGTGGTTGGTAAGTGGTCTGGGTTTGTGGAAGTGTAGACGGGTGGGGGAATATTCGCCTTGCAAATTTTATACCAGAACCATAAAAAAAATGAGTTATGACTTTGAAGACAATTGTCTGTGATGAATACACAGCCTAATTTCCCTTATCGTGCCACCCTAGGGATATGGCTGGACAATAATTCATTAATGTGTGTATAATGCTGTTGCCACTCCAGATAGAAAGTGCTCTAGGAAACCTAAGTATTATCATTATAAAAGCATTGCTTGTTTACAAATTCAAATACGAGACATTTAAGTCCCAGGTCTTCACAAGTGCCACAAGCTACAGATGCTGGCTGACAACAAATCCTCATTTACAAATGCTTGTGTTGAAAGCCAAAACCTGCATTTGAGAGTGATGTGGTTTCTGCTGCCAGAAGGTCCAGCTGCAAGTTCCTACCAAAACTGCTGCAAAGTCAAAACTCTCTGAATCAGCATGAACTCTTGTGACAAGGACAAACAGAACAGGATAGCATGTGTGCCAAGTATTGCATGATACTTACTACAGATCAAGGCAACAGCCATGCGCAGCAGTTTGAATTGGCACTTCATTCCTGACCAGTTCTGGAAAAGAGACAAGGGAAACAAAGTGATGTTGCATGCAAACCTGGAGGGATTTTACATTCAGATCTGCACTGGAAAAGCATCAGGGATGACCACCCCTTGAAACAAACCCCTTTCATTGCCTTCACCACTTGGCTGTGAACTCTCCACTCACCACACCAAACACAGTTCTGTCAAACCTAGAGAACGTAAACATAAAGGATATATTACAGACGTGCCCAAGTTATGGACAGTCCACAACTTCTTTGCCTGGCAGTCTTACTGACTTTCCTTACCTGAGATCCAGCTGGTGTTGTGTGGTCCTTGGCTGGCCTTACCATTCTCCATTCTTCAGACACACTGATTTTTAACATGTTAGTATGATGTTTTGCCTTAAATTCTGACTTCTGAAAATATTTGAATTTACCTACCCTGCAAAACCCACATCAAATTAGGCCACATCAAATAAAATTATGTTAAGTAGTACCGAGGATTCAACACAAGCATCATTCTGGTTAACACCACACAGCTCATCATGATTCACTTGAAAGCCCAACACTGTCACCTGTCAGGCAATTTCTCAGTGCATTCAAGCCCTATTGCATTTTTCCAGTGCTACTGCCTGTACCTCAGACTCCCTGAAATTCTGCAACTCAGTTCTTCTGCAGAGCACACACAAAAAAAATCAAGACCTCATTTAAAGCATACCAAGGAAACAGTGCCATAAGAAAGCCTAGATTTGGCCTCCTCTGTCTTCAGGTTTGGTCATTAAACAATACAGTGGAATAAGAAGCTATGAATGATAGTCAGAAATCCTGGGAGAAATGTTTAAATTCCTCCTTTTCCACTTGCACAAAATTTCCAAGCAGAAAAAGAGATCATATTCTGGGGAACTCAGATGTATGACAACACTATTATTATTATTATTATTATTGACTAAATGACATTTTTCCTGTTGAAAGCAGTATGAGATACCAAGCTAGCCACGTTTCTTATGAGAAACTCCCTGTTGATCATACTGAAGAAATAAAAAAAAAAAATGCTTGCAAACTCTTCAGCCTAACTTTAATGGCACCCAGTGACTTTTCAGCCTGCTGAAGAAATATTCTGTAATACATATTATATATATTCAAGTTTTATGTGGGATCTGTCCGTAAATCACTTCTGTGACTGCAAAAATGCAATCTCTACAAAATAAGTAACTCTCTCTCTCCACAGAGACACCTAACCCAGGCAGAAGGCTCTGAACTCATGCTGATTAATACTGTGCTGCTTCCTTCAGAGTTTTAATTTCCATGTAGCCGTCTTGCATTCCTCCCCTCACTCTTTTCCTTAGGGTGGCATGCTTTATTGCTTCCCCCTGTTGGTTATTTTCTCTCTTGGATTCCAAGAATATTTATTTTTACAAGCCGGAATGTTTTCATTTCCTTTGCTTACCAGGAGACACAAGGGAACAGAAGATTCAAGGGACCCTCCCTGCAACAGTCCCTCCTCTTCCCAGCATGCTCAAAGCACCTGTGCAAGACTGTGTGCTTTACCAGCAAATGGCCAGCATGTCTTTCAGCATGCGGGAGCATCTCATCTAGATACTAAGTGAGCAGAGAGAGAGGAGAGGGAGAAAGAACCTCTACCAGAATGGGAAAGGCAGTAAAAGTAGTTTCAGACAAGAAAAGAGGCAGCAGATAATGGGGAAATATAGATGCTAAGGTAGCAATTGCTAAATAGATTTGGAGGCCAATGAGCAGTGAAATGACAGGCCACTCTGCAATGTTTTAAGGATTCTGGTAAGGCAATTGGTGAAGACTCTCCACACACCTCTGGCAGAGCCTCTTCCTCTAAAGCAAGCCAAAATTTCCTCCAATGTCCTCCTCTGACCCTGTGAATCCTGGTGTGAAAAAACCCTGTGTCTGCATTACCACCCTGTGAGACAGAGGAAACGCCCTCCTGCTGCTGTCGGCCTACTGGCAGGGAACACAAATCACACTGAAAGTAACTGTATATAAGGAGGTATTTCGCCAGTAGAAACACAGTGGTATAGAGGTAGCCCCTTTCCTCCGCTCCCTGTCTCTCTGCCAGACACTCAACTGTCCTAATTTGGCAACAGCCCCCAGCTCATTCATGCTCTGAAAAGCTTGAAGACAGCAAAGGAGACCTAGTCTGCTCAGGAAACCACTCACTTCCCTGCTCCCAGCTGCTACAAAGGCTGCCTGGAGCAGCACCACTGTGGGTTGCAGCCCAAACCAGCTGACATTGCTGCATACAAGCATTAAATACAAGGTTTTCTTTTAGGCTTAACACAAGTACCACCACACACACACGTTTTCCAGCACCCATACAGCAGACCTTCTGTCTCTGTTGCAGCCAACTCGCATTATCTTCCCACTCAGACCCTGGGGAGGCCACATCACTGTCATTTTTATGGTTATTCTGCTCTGACATTGCTGGTACAGGACAGACATGCAGCCCTGTACCACCACACATGAATCCTAATAACAGCAAAATCAGCTCTCTCGGCAAAGCCATTCTTGCCCAGCGGTCAAGCTTAGGAGTCACACAGGCAGATATGCTGGGCTTTGCCACCACCTAGCTGGGGATCTTGGATGAGCTCCTGTTTCCAGGTCTTAGAGGAATGACGATGCTAGTATTTACTGACCTTTGTAAAGTACTTCATTAGGTAAAACGGCAAAAAGATGCATCACTAGAGACGCTCAGGGTTCAGCTTCAGTCTGGGTTTTACAAATGGGGATAAGGGATATTCTGCACACAAATCCACCAAATACTATATTTCCTTAGGTACCTGCTAACATTACATGGCACATGCAGACAGAAACAAGTCTGCAACTTCTGCAGAGCCAGTCAGCTCCTTTTTTTCCAAACACTTGTCAGCCCCTGCAAGGAGAGCTGATAGCCTGGAATACACTGATAAGTCTTGGATTACCAGCATCTTTGGCTTCTCCTGGCAAGCTGCCAGTCATCAGGATATCAAGCCACCCACGGCAGTGTAACATTTCCATTCCGGGACCACACCGCTGAGACAAGACTCTTAACTGGGGAAAGCTCTGAATGACCAACAGCTGGCTCAGGCCCTATTTCCAATCCCTTTGGGCCACCAGATCTGGCTCACTTCTGAAGAGGTTAGACAGTCGTTCTGGTACTCACCATGACTATATTCGCCAAGTGAGCTGAGACAAGAGCATACACGCCTCCAGAGGAACCCACCACAGGTGCAGTCATATCAGATACTGACACTGCCAGGGACCCTGGAAGAAAGAACAAGGGTTTGTGACAATCGCCAGCCAAATAAACACGCTCTCTCCTACCCTACATCCCCGCTACTGCCTGTTTTGTGCTAATTGCTGCAGGTCAGTAATATACAGATAAAGAGAAGGGGGGGAAATCAATTGACTTGTGAAGCTAACTCAGTCCTGTAGTACTGCCAAGACAGTGATTGATTCTTTTGCACCTACTTTAAAAGCAGCCAAGAAAGGCAGCAATGTACCTTCAGACCTATGCTGCAAAAAGGCACTTACACCCTGACTAAAATATAAAGGAAGCAGGAGACGGACAAATGTCTGTGTCTTGCTCCTCACCTGAAGATAAAACAGAAGTAGCTCCCATGCTGGCAAGACAAATATTTGCAAAGTGAGAAGGAACTGGGGATTTGTAACTTAACACAGCCTGTTACTTATAAAACCTCAGAGTAAAACTAGCTAAACACAACCTGGATAGAGGCAGTAAACACAAGACAGCAAAACGACAGGTCAATCACATAAAGGCACCCCTAATAACAATACATCCAGACATAGACACTGCTTCTCCTTATCCCAATTGGAGGCTTGGATCTGCTCAAAGCTCCTTTCATTGCAAACTTTAAGAGTAATTTAAGAGATAGAGAAACAAAGGCAGACTTGGTGTCGCAACACAGGGATAACAAAGATCTTTGATGAGTGGGAATGGGAAAAAGACACAATGGCAAATCTTGAGAGTCCTTGGCAGTACAGAATCTAATGAACTTCTTTGCTAATTGCTCAGCTGATTCTGGGTCAAGAAAGTGCTGAGATTCCACCAGCCAACTCTGCTGATAGCTCCCTCCTTCACTGTATGACCCTGAGACTTCTCAGCTCTTAAACACTGCCATTAATGAAAAAGTTAATGAGAAGTTAAGAAAGGAGTAATGAGAACTTGCAGTTAAGTCCTTGGACACTGCACTGAGCATATACCTTCAGTCTCTCGATCTCAGTCTCAACATGTCTTCTTAGTAAAGCCAGACGAATAAGAAAAAAAAAAAAAAAAACAAAAACAAACATAAAAGTAGGGAGTGGCCACTGTGGCCCGTGTCTACATTTTACTGTTTATTCCTGATTGTTTAGGAGCTGTGTTCTCTTTTTATTGCTTCTTTCTCTCTCTCCTGGCACATGTCAAAGAATAAAGCATGTTTAATAACTGGCTAACAGCTCAAACAAGTAAGGGTATCATGGGATGCTTTTCTGTGTGGGACTGTCTGGTCACATTCATGCACTAAGAAGGATAGTTTTCCCTTTCCATTTGGCACTTTGTTCCACAATTTATAGGTCATAAGGTGTGAAAGGAAAGTCTATGAGGATGTGGCAGCTTGTCCGAGAAAAAAATGGGATCATCTGTGTAGCAGAAATGAACCAATAATGCTAGGTGGGCTAATGAGCCTCACTCAAGCACTGGCTACAAGCCTCCAGAGCTCTGGGTGTTCAGCCTAGCCCAATGCCCATAAAATCTGCCTTTGGCCCTGCGGACCCTGCCTGCAAGTCCATGGCCACAGGAATCAGAGAGGCAGCCGGCAACTTGCAGTGCTTGCCTGGGCTCAGTTGCAACAGATTCAATGCTAACTTGCTTTGCTTACCTGGCACAGATGTGCTATATGTATTTACACATATAGAAATGAAGCCCCCGAGTTTGGTACATGGATCTACATAGAAAAGCTTATGTCTGGAAAGTTGCAGATTGGGGACTACTTTAGTGCTTATTAAAATAACAGGCAAGGGACAGTGGAGCTGCTCTGCTAACTCCTTTCTCTGCATTAAATAGTGTGGTGTTTGTACCATGCCTAGTCCTGTGTCTGAGTCCAATTATTCTTTTCACAGTCTCCCTCCTGGAATGCAGGATTTATTAGTACCCAATGCAGCCCATTTTACAAAGGCTTTATCTGCTCATTATGGAAAAAAATAAAATTATGTAGCTGGAAAAAAAAATATCACCATAAATCTTGAACTAAGGCAGTCAATCATTGTCTGAGTTCCACTGTGAAGCCCTTGGCTGTTCTCACACTCTCCTCCTGTTTTAATTAGATGTTGATCTATTGTCAGCTAACTTCCATCACCTCCAAACTGCTGGAAATGCCAAACATAAATAAAAGCAATACAGCACAAACTAAAAAAAAAAAATCCATCAAACCCCATGGCTTCCTGATTAAATTAATTTCCAGATTCCTGTGCACTGCTCACAAAATACAACCAAATACTTCTTGCTTACTCAGGCTGTAGAAAGTAGACAGAACAGGACAAATGGAGGAAGAACTGGCACAGGACCTGGAAAAAAAAAATTACTCTTCATGCAGGGATGACTGTGATGCCACCTTTCTTCTAGGCCTCTGTGGGACACAAGAGGAAGGGAACAGCATGACCTCCACATTCAGGAAGACCATCTAAAGCAAGGATATTTTAAAGTAACAGGTTGTTGGTGCTTTTTTAGCAGGTCCCCTAAGAACAGAGCCTACGGCTAGCTAGAATCAGGTGTCAAGTTGTAGCATATTTCCCACTTCCAGCCTCCAAAAGAATTTCAGCTCACAGAAGATCAGTGACTGCTCTTCTCCTACATCCAAATGTCACAAAACACTTCTCCTACTCAAAAGTCAGCGCAGACCATTTTCGGATGCTTCTCCATCTGGAACATCCAGAGGTGTCACCTACCTGCCACAACTCCAGCAACGTACACAAAACTGATCCTCGCAGCTCCATGCACCATTTCCAGGGGAACCCCAACCAAGAGCTGAAGGACAACATTGAGTCCAAGGTGTTCTATCCTGCGACAAGGAAAAACAACAGTTGTCCTCTTTTCTAAGTCTTTGCCTCCCTTCTCTACCCCTGAGACAGAGATATCTTGGAAAGGATATCAAATAGCACCTGTTTCATAAAAGTAGATTATAACACTCTGAAAAACAATGGTTCCTGAAAAAAAGCAGACTGAGAGCTGTGATGTTTCTTCCCTCCTTGCTGCTCATTATCTTTTTCATATCCACCCAGGTCCTTTCAGACAAAGACCTCATAGCATGTTTGGTTCTTAGTGAGACTTTTTTTCAAACAAACAAAAAAAAAAAGTTAAATGACTTGTCCAAAAAAGCAGCAAGATGGCAGCAGAGCCTGGAACAGAAGCCAGACACTTGACCTACTCCTCTCTTCTCCCCTCCTAATGATACAACCTTCCCTGGCATATATTACACTGCCATGATGGGGAACGGATATTAAGTCAAGAGCAAGGTAAGCCTAGCAGTCCCAAGACAGTTGCCATTTCCTTGTGACACATAACACCACTTTACTGTTTGTGCTATCTGACCCTCCCCTTCTTCTGCTGTGCCTACTTCAATGTGATCATGGTCAGAATGGGAAGCAGAGGGCATTTTTATCTCTGGTTAGGTGCCCAGTGAGACACAAGGCATATTCACTGGAGCTCTGTTCACCTACCCTTGTTCCCATTACAGTCAAAAGCAGAACTCCT